CCCCTTTTGGGGGGTATACCTTTCTTCCCTGCAGGCCGGGCCCCGGCAAGCGGCGGGGCGGCCGCGGACCGTCGGCCTGGCCAGCGGCAGCGCTGATCGGCGGGGCGGCCGCGGACCGTCGACCCGACCCCAAGAGGGACGGACAGGGGACCGACCACGACGACGACGACGACGACGACGACGTCGAAGACGACGGCGACGACGACGACGACGGCGACGACGAGCGAAAGCGAGAGCGAGAGAGAACGACAGCAGGGCCACGAAGGGCACGAAGTAGGCCACGAAGGGCGACAGCGGGGACACGAAGGGAATGCGTATGGGGCCACGAAGAGCGCGAACGAGCGGGGGCCACGAAGTGCAGATAATGCGGGGCCACAGAAGGCAACTATGGGGCCACTGAGGGTAGCAACTGGGCCACGTAGGACAGTGAGGGGGACACAAATGGCGACAGCGGGGCCACGAAGGGCATGCACATGGGGCCACAACGGGCGCGACTCCTGGGTGCCTGGGTGTCGGGAGCGCGGCGCTTGGGCAAATTGCAGGAAATTCCAACGCAAGGCTATTCTTCAGTAAGTTGCAAGCAAGTCTCCAGCAAGAGCGCGACTCCAGAGCTCCGGGAGAGCGATTCCTGCATAAATTGTAAGGAAGTCCCAAGCGAGAGCGCCATTCCTGAATAAAATGCGAGGAAGTCTCGGGCGGGAGCGGGGGTCCTGCCTAAATTGTGAGGAAGTCTCAGGCGGGAGCCGTTGTGGTTGTAACCTGGGGGCCAGGGGGCAAGTTTGAGCAGGAAGACTTTCCCTGACAAAAAACAGGGTGCGAGCGTCGAGGGACACACTTTGATTGAGAAAAAACAATATGCACCGGTGAGGGGGGAACAACAATAATTATTCTTCAGGAATGAGAATTCAACAACAACAACAACAACAACAACAACAACAACAACAACAATCACTTTACCCGAACGCTCAGTGTTCTCACCAGTGCCAGGGTTTTCATGCGACGCCAGCCAATACCCCCACTTTGTGGGGGGGCAGTGCAAGCTCTACCAAATATCCACACGACTCTTCGCCACCACCCACACCCAGCTTCCCGCCCTATGACGTTCGGACACTTCACTTCGTGGCCTGCGGACGACCGTGGCTACTACACTGGCGTGGAGTACACACCCACAGAAGTTGTTAAGCCTACGTTCGCACACCCACAGAAGTTGTTAAGCCTTGTTAACCCACAGAAGAGCGTGCGAAAGTAGCTCGCGCGAGCTCATGTAACATAAATGTTGGGAAACCATTGTTTTTTTTTAGGATTCGGACAGCGCGCGCGGGTGGAAATTTTGAAAAGTCGTGCAGCTGTTTTTCGAGGACCTACGGTGCGATTCGTGTGATTTTATGATGCGCGGTGCTAAAATTCTTAAGAAGCCCAATGGTTTTTGGAGATTTCGGCGTGCGCGCGCGAAGAAAAAACGAATGTGTCCCGCATGGTATTATTTGACAGGGATGATGGCCCTGGCAGGTGCGCAACCGTTGTCGCAGAAGTTCGAAAAAGTTGCTCGCAAAAGCCCGTTTGACAGAAATGTTTAAAAAGTGTTGGGTTTCCTACGAATCCGCAAGAGCGCGCGGGATGAGATTTTGACATTTTTTTGTTGAAAAACCATTAGTTTTTTGATGTTTTTATGTTGAAATCGCTCCGAACACTAAGCTTTTGGAAGGATTTCGTCTTGCGCGCGCGAATGTCCACTTTACCTTATTTTTTGCAAAGGATTCTTGAAATTTGATTATATTAGAACAAGAAATGTCATTTTATAGTGTTTTTTGCAAGGGAAAGCGGGGGGGAACAAAACAACCGGATCTTGATCACATCGAATTACCTGAGGCTTCCTCACGAAAATGATGAAAATGTAGCTGCGGCCTAGGCGGCGCAGGGGGGCCGTGCACCAGGGGTCCCAACAATAATTATTCTTTAGAATTAATAATGTTCAACAACAACAACAACAACAACAACAACAACAACACACAACCAACAACAACAACAACAACAACAACAACAACAATCATTTTACCCGAACGCTCAGTGTTCTCACCAGTGCCAGGGTTTTCATGCGACGCGAGACAATACCCCCACTTCGTGGGGGGGCAGTTCAAGCTCTACCAAATATCCAAACGACTCTTCGCGACCACCCAAACCCAGCTTCCCGCCCTATGACGTTGGGACACTTCACTTCGTGGCGTGCGGACGACCGTGGCTACTACACTGGCGTGGGGTACACACCCACAGAACTTGGTCACTTATTCGGGGCGCGCGTGTGCCCAGCATCCTGCAATTGTGACATACAATACATGACACAGACAGACAGAGAGAGAGACAGAGAGCAGACAGAGAGAGAGACAGAGAGAGCGGAGTTGGTCACATTTTTGGGGCAAGTTCCTGAGATCGTCGTGTTTTTTGTTGGTCTTGCGCGCGCGAATGTCCACTTTACTTTTTTTTGCAAGGGAGTATTGAAATTTGATTATGTTAGAACAAGAAAAAGTAGCTCGCGCGAGCTCATGTAACATAAATGTTGAAAAACCATTGGTTTTGTGGGAGTCGGACAGCGCGCGCGGGATGAAATTTGGACATTTGTTTTTTGAAAAACCATTGGGTTTTTGATGTTTTTATGTTGAAATCGTTACGAAACCTAAGGTTCTGGAAGGATTTCGTCTTGCGCGCGCGAATGTCCACTTTACCTTATTTTTTGCAAGGGATTATTGAAATTTGATTATGTTAGAACAAGAAAAAGTAGCTCGCGCGAGCTCATGTAACATAAATGTTGAAAAACCATTGGTTTTGTGGGATTCGGACAGCGCGCGCGGAAGGACATTTTGACAATTTTTTCTTAAAAAACCATTGGGTTTTTGATGTTTTTATGTTAAAATCGTTACGAAACCTAAGGTTTTGGAAGGATTTCGTCTTGCGCGCACGAATGTCCACTTTACCTTATTTTTTGCAAGGGATTCTTGCAATTTGATCAAGTAAGAACAAGAATTTTCATTTTCTATTGTTTTTTGCAAGGGAAAACGAGCGTCAACAAAAAACCGGATCCGGAGCTCATCCACTTTTCTGAAGCTTTCGCGAAAAAATGATGAAAATGTAGCTGCGGCCTAGGCGCGGCGCAGAGGTCGCGCACCAGGGGTCCCAACAATAATAATTCTTTAGAAGGAATAATGTTCAACAACCACAACCACAACAACAACAACAACAACAACAGCAACAACAACAACAACCACGGCAACGGCAACGACAACGACAACCACAACAACAGCAACAACAACGACAACAACAACAGCAACAACAATCACAATAACAACAACAACAACAACAACAACAACAACAACAACAACAACAGCAACAGCAACAACAACAGCAACAGCAACAACAACAGTAGCAACAACAACAGCAGCAGCAGCAGCAACAACAACCACAGCATCACCAGAATCATCCTTTTTGGACGTTGGCCAGACTTTAAGCGTGATGCTCGCAGCGCTCGTGTGGCAAAAAAAAGTAACGATGGCCGACTCAGGCCTGTGAGCGAACGAAGTACGCCTGGCAGGCGCAGCAGAAGTCGGAAGGGCAAAGAAGCAAAGAGAAACCCTCATCCTCCTCCTCCCCCTCTTGGAGGACCGTCCTGGACTCCAGGAGAGCCTCTGAGGGCGCCGAGGCTCCGCGGCCGTCAGGGAGAGAGCGAGCGCCGGGGCATCGAGCGCCTCGCACTCCCGCGGCCCGATGGACCCCACGACGTTGGGCGTGGTGCACTCGATGAGCTCGTCGCTGATCACCGTGCCCTGCGTCTCCGACACGTGCCGGCCGCCTGCTGTAGAGAGCAGAAGATCCACCCCCCTAACAAGCCGCCCTGCGAGCGAAGCCGTTCAGCAAACGCGCCCCAGGGAAGGGATCGAACAGGGCAGGGCTGTTTTGTCAACGCCCAGGGCCGCTCAAAAAAACGGCAAGCATCGGGATCGGGGTGGCATCCCCTGATTCTGGGGGCGGAAAGGCGTCGGCGGCGAGCGAGGGGGTGAAGCGAGGAGGAGAAGGCCCTCTCCTCGGAAGGCGCCGAGGCTTCTCGGGAGCCCTCTGGCCTTCCGGGAGGCCTGCCTGTGGCTTCGGGGAAGAGGCTCAGGCCTGCCGCTGCTCACTTGCCCCCGGGTGGAGGAGGAGGGGCAGAGGGATGGAGGAGGGAGGAGCGACGCCCGTCAGAAGGGTTGTTTGAATGTTGTTTTGTTTTCTCTTGGGGGGGGCAGGTCCACAGGAGGAGAACAGGAGGAGGAAGAGGAGGAGGAGGCGCGACGCTGGACAAGCGCGTTCCACTACTCGCAAAGTAAGTAAGCGCAAATGGCCTGGATCCGCCGCGGGGGATTTACGATATAGCACATCAAAACAAACAAATGCTTTTCAGACGTTTGCGAGTAGGCATTTCGCCAGTAGTGGAACGCGCTCGGTGAAGGAGGGCAGGAGGAGGAGGAGAAGGAGCGGCGCCGGACAGGAAGGGGGGAGGAGAGGGGCACCAGACGAGTGCTTCGCACTGCCTGATCGATGGGCAGGCCAAATCTTCTCAAGAGGCGTCGTGCGTTTGTCAAGTGGTATTCCTCGAGTAGTGGATTGACTACAACATTGAGTTATCCCCAAGCTGATTTGCTCTTCGAATCCACCAAAAGAACGACGATCAAAAACGGGTATTACGCGAGATGGCACAGCGACCTTACGCGGGCCGCCAGCGCGGCGCGCCACGTTGGAGACGAGGACTCTTACGCGCGACCTCACGCGGGCACCTTACGCGCCAACGTCTGCGCAGACGACCCCGTTTTCCTGCGTCGCTCAAGTAGTATTCTGGAGTAGCTCGCGCTGACGATTCAATACCAAAGTGCCCAACTGATGTGCCCACAACTGTCGTGGCGGTCTCTCGCAACGCGGTTCAGGGGTGGACCGTCAACTCGCATTTGACCTCCTCCCATACGCTCCATCCATCCAAGAAGACCTCCACCAAGTGCAAAAGCGCTCCGTGGTGCCAAAGGCGTTTCCAAGACAATCGACCTGCGCACTCAACTCCGTTGCCGCTTTTTGCTACATGGCCGATTCCAGAAACCCTGAACCCAAAAATGATGTCATCTCTTGGGGGGTCGACTTTTGCTTCCGCCCTCGCACTACTTCCGCCGCCTTCCGCCACCCTTCCGCCGCCTTCCGCCGCAGAAGGGATGGCAACTCCTCCTGTCCTCGAAGGCCAGGCCCTGTTTGGGACGCCCCACATGTCCGTGCTTCCAATGCGGCGTAGCTGCTGAGTCGACCATGGCTCGGACGTCTCGGTGTACTCTGGGGCTGCGCACCCGCGCTCCCGCTTCGCGAGAGGGGTTCCTCCTCCTCCTCCTCCCCCTCCTCCTTCTCCCCCTCCTCCTCCTCCTCCTTCTGCTCCTCCTCCCCCTCCTCCTCCTCCCCCTCCTCCCCCTCCTCCCCCTCCTCCCCCTCCTCCTCCTCCTCGTCGCCTTCGCTGCCCCGCGGGCGCGGCTCCCCTTCCTCGGAGGGCCGCTCGGTGCAGGGCGGCAGGCCCCCCGAGGCCGAGGAGCACGAGGAGAACCTAAGAGAGCCACGAGCCCCGACCTCTTGGGAACGCGGGCGGGGATGACCTGTGAGAGCGGCGGGGGGCAAGGAGGAGGAGGAGGAGGAGGAGGGGAAGGATAAGGGGGAGGAGGGGGAGGGGGAGGGGGAGGAGGAGGAGGAGGGGAGGAGGAGGAGGAGGAGGAAGAGGAGGAGGAGGAGGAGGAGGAGGGCGAGGAGGGAGGGGAGAGCAGGGCGACCGTGCTGGTGCCCTGCGTGTCCGTTTGCAGGACTTGGCGGGGCTCCCCGAGGATGTCGAGGGCGGGGGGAGAAGATGGGGAACGAAGGAGCTGGCAGGCGAGAGGATGGAGCGCAGGAGGACGACGGAGGTGGCGGACGAGGACGACGGAGGAAGTGGCGGAGGAGGACGACGGAGGAGGTGGCGGAGGAGGACGAGGAGCAGGAGGAGGCGGCGGAGGAGGTGGCGGAGGAGGGGAGCGGGCGCAGGAGGAGGAGGTGGCGGAGGAGGACAACGGAGGAGGGGAGCGGCAGGAGCGCAGAAGGGGTGCAAAGGAAATTTGGGAGGGAAGCAGGTGGGGGTGCTTCGAGAAAAGGGGTTGAGGTGTCTCTTTGGAAGGGTTCATGCGTTTAGCTTGTGTGTCGGTTGCGTCTCCGGTTACCTCGGGGCGATCTTGGGCAGGCGCTGAGCCCTGTTGGGGGCCTGCTTCATGCTTTGCATGCGTGTGTCTGCAGGGCTTCTTGGGACTTTGCGGAGGTTCCAGTGCTGCTTTGGTGGCCCATCGGGGATCGTTTAAGCCGAGAGCCTGATGACCACAGGGCGCATCAGGCTGGTTCCCATGTTGTGCGTTTGACGGTTTGAGGGGGCTCTCCGAACAGATGGAAGAAGGAGGGGGGATGCGGAGCAAGCCATTCGGAAGGTAAGCGCGTGGAGGAGGGGTGGGGGGGAATCAGAGAGCCAAAACCTAGCTCGGTGAGATCGTTGCAGTCCTCGTTTAAGATCGGCATGAAATCTGTAGAATCAGATCGGGATAATAAGCCAGAGCGGCAGTGGACAGGATGGAGGAAATGTGTTATGGGACTGCTCTTGGTTCCCTCGGTGTCCGTTTGCGCGTTCGCTGGGGCTTCTCGACGAGGAGGGATGAAAGATACAACGAGGTTGGAAGCAGACAGGAGGAGGGGGAAGCGTGTCGCACCAGTGATGGGTGCATTCGCATGCACAGCGCGCATGAACCGAGAGGCGCAGAAAGGTCAGGAGGCGGTTGGAAGCAGCGAGGGTCAGGGAGAGAGAGAGAGAGAGAGACAGAGACATGCATGCAGCAGCAGTGCTGCGTCTGCAGAAAGCGCGACTTGGAGAATTGGCGAGGAGCGCAAGTGAGAAGTCGGGAGGTATTGCGACGGGAACAGGGGCTAGAACGCGCTGTCCACAAAAATCTGGCTAAGGAGGACAAGGAGAAAAAATGCTGTGGCGTGCAGTGCCCGTCTGCGTTTTACTCACCCTGGCGTTGCGAAGCAGCTGGTTCGGCGCTGCCACTTCATGGCTCCATGACAGCACAGGAACCACCGCCAGGTGCGAAGCCGACGCAATTTGTCGTTAAGGCATGATGACTACCATGAGTACCGAGTGCCTTGCGGTGAGGATAACGCTTTCTTGCACTTCGCAGCGTTGGCCATGCAGGACTCTGCTTAACCTGCAGACGGCCTCGTTCGGTGAGCGCTCTGGGCCCAAACAGCTAAGCACGCGGTACATAGCACAGCCCCACTCGGCAATGGGGACCACTGAGCCCCCCCGCGTGCTCTGCTCAACATGGCCTCGGGAGCCACTGGAATCATCAACGTGCACACTGTCACGAAGTGCTTGTGGCCCTCAAGAGCAGCTATGCTATGCTGAGATGTGCCATGTTCGCCCTCTCATCCTTCTCAGGATCCTCCTCCTGCTCCGTCTCCTACTCCTCCTCCTCCTCCTCCTCCTCCTCCTCCTCCTCCTCCTCCTCGCCCTCCTCCTCCTCCTCCTTCTCCTCCTCCTTCTCCTGCTCCTCCTCCTCCTCCTCCTCCGCCTCCTCCTCCTCCTCCTCCTCCTCCTGCTCCACCTCCTGCTCGTCGTCGTCCTGCTGCTGCTGGTCCTCCCCCCCCCCCCATCCTTCCCACAACCCGCCGCGCCAGCTTCCGCGCGCGCGCACACGCAGCCTGCGGCGATGAATCGCACGACGACAGCGCCAGGGGTGGACTTGAAGCCGATGCCGACCACCTGGCACCGCCACAATCATCCTCATCCTCATCCTAATCCGCATCCTCATCGTCATCGTCCTCATCTGTATCCTCATCCTCCCCGTTATCAACATCACCGCCATCATCATCATCATCATCATCATCATCATCATCATCATCATCATCATCATCATCATCATCATCATCATCATCATCATCATCAGCATCATCATCATCATCATCAGCATCATCATCAGCATCATCAGCATCATCAGCATCATCAGCATCAGCATCCTCATCATTATCATCAACACCAGAAACATCATCATCATCATCACCACCATCATCATCATCATCATCATCATCATCATCATCATCATCATCATCTCCATCATCATCATCATCATCATCATCCTCATCAGCAGTATCAGCATCAGCATCAGCATCAGCATCAGCATCATCATCATCATCGTCATCATCGTCATCATCATCTCCATCAGCATCAGCACCATCATCAGCATCACCAGACTCCACCTCATCATCATCATCATCATCAGCATCATCATCATCATCAGCATCAGCATCAGCATCAGCATCATCCTCGTCGTCGTCATCATCAGCAGCATCATCAGCATCAGCATAATCAGCCTCAGCCACATCTGCAGCATCAGTATCGGCATCATCATCATCACCATCATCATCATCACCATCATCATCATCATAATACAAGCCCTTATCCGAATCCTCCTCCACATCCTCTTCATCCTGATCATCATCCTGATCATCAGCATCAGCATCAGCATCAGCATCAGCATCATCATCATCATCATCGTCATCATCATCATCATCATCATCACCATCATCATCATCATCAACATCATCATCATCATCATCATCATCATCATCAACCTCATCATCATCATCACCATCATCATCATCAGCATCGTCATAACCATCTCATCCCAATCCTCCTCACCCTCCCCATCAGCATCATCATCAGAATCAGCATCACGATCATCAGCATGACCAACATCCTCATCCTCCTCTTTATCCTCCTCGTGAACATCATAACCACCACAACCACCGCCACCACCACCATCATCATCATCATCATCATCGTCATTAACATCATCATCAGCATCATCATCATCAGCATCGTCATCACCATCTCATCCCAATCCTCCTCACCCTCCCCATCAGCATCATCATCAGAATCAGCATCACGATCATCAGCATTACCAACATCCTCATCCTCCTCTTTATCCTCCTCGTGAACATCATAACCACCAGGACCACCGCCACCACCACCACCATCATCATCATCATCATCATCATCCTCGTCGTCATCGTGTTTTTGACCATTCCCATCACCAACTACATCCTATCATAATCATCGTTATCATCATCAGCAACATCATCAGCATCAGCATCAGCATCAGCATCAGCGTCAGCATCATTATCACCATCACCATCATCGTCGTCATCATCCTCATCATCATCATACTCCGAATCGGAATCCTCATCCTCCTGATCATCCTCGTCATCATCATTACCATCATCTTCTTCATTCTCACCATCACCATCATCATGATGAGAATCATCACCATCATCATCATCACCACCCACATTCTCATCCTCCACGCCATTCTCCTCGTGCTTATCATCATCACCACGACCACCATCAGCACCACCACCACCACCAGGAGCATCAGCATCATCAGCGTCGTCTTCTTTGTGTTCTTCACCACCCCAATTCCCAGTAACATCATAAGCATAATCACTGCAATCATCATCAACAGCATAAGCATCACTCTCATGATGATGATCATCATCATCATCATCCTCCTCCTCATCATCATCATTCCCCTCCTCACCGTCAGTATCATCATCACCCACACCCTCATCCTTCTCGTCCTCCTCCTCGTGACCATCCGCATCACCACGCCGACCACCACCACCACCACCACCATCAGCATCATCACCATCAGAATCATCCTCATCATCATCATCACCATCACAATCATCACCATCATCACCATCACCATCGTCATCATCATCATTATCACCATCCTCATCCTCATCATCATAGTCCTTGTTTTCGTATTCTGCATCATCACCATATCCACAACATCATCCCCATAACCATGACCATCGTCAAGTTCATCAGCAGCAGCAGCACCCTCATTCTCATCCTCTCCATCATCATCACCCATATCCAAATCATCCTCGTCCTACACGTCGTGATCATCACCACCACGACCACCACCACCGCCACCATTATCATCATCGTCATCATCATTAGCATCATCATAATCATCATCATCGTCGTTGTTGTTTTGATCTTCATCACCCCTACAATCAACAACATCATAGCCATGATTATCGTCACCATCATCAACATCATCAGCCACATCCTCATCCTCACCCTGATCCGCATCCGCAGCCTCACCATCAACATCATCATCAGAAGCAGCATCATCAGCATCATCATCAGCATCAGCATCATTACTCACATCCTCATCCTCCTCGTCATCCTCCTCGTGATCATCATCACCACCACGACCATCACCGCCACCATCATCATCATCAGCATCAGCATCAGCATCATCGCCTTTTCCTTCAGCATCATCATCAGCATCCCATCATCAACCCTCTCCTAATCATAGCCATCGTCAAGTTCATCAGCAGCAGCATCATGAACATGGTCAGCATCATCATCATCATCATCATCATCATCATCATGGTCATCGTCGTCATCATCATCGTCATCGTCATCGTCGTCGTTGTTATTTCAGCATCTTCATCATAATCATCATCGACATCATCATCATCATCATCATCATCATCATCATCATCATCTCCATCATCATCATCATCCTCATCATCATCATCAGCAGCAGCAGCAGCAGCATCAGCATCATCATCGTGCTCTTCATCCTACTGTTCTTCCTGCTCCTCCTCCTCCCCCAATCCCTCCCCCTCTCGAGCGGAAGAGGCGGACGAGGAATAGAAGGAAGATGAGGAGGAGGAGGAGGAGAAAGCACGGGATAGGCAGGAGGAACAGTGGAAGAGGGAAATGAGGAGGACAGTGACGACGACGTCGACGACGACGAGGGACGCGGAGGACGAGGAGGACGAGGAGGAGCGCACATCGAAAGAAGAGAAGTTGGAGGAGAAAGAGGACACGCGACTAGGTTTCTCATGGCTTCAGGGGGTCTAACGACGGGGGTCCAGGGAGCCCGATAGAGTCTCAAGGTGGAGTCGACCTGGAGGCGTCGGGACCCTCTCCAAAAACTACCGAAACATCTGAGGAGGAGCAGCAGAAGAGCTTAACCGCAACAGTTCTCGTCGCCTCATGTCTGGCCAACGCAGGAGGATGAGGAAAGGAGGCAGACGACGACGGACGACGACGACGACGACCACCACCACCACCACCACCACCACGACGACGACGACGACGGCGAGCAGCCGACCACGATACGCTCCAGCCCGGCCCCCAGACCGCGACGGCCCCCGCAGGCACGTCCCGGCCCGCTCTTCTGGCCTCGCCCGGCCGCGGCCGGGGAGACGGAGACGCCCAAAAGGCCTCCGCGGCGGCGACGTCGTCGGCCAATGGGCGCCGACGTCGGGGGTTGGCGGTCCGCACAAGGGGGGGGGAGGGGGGAGGGCTTCTTAGAAAGAGGCTGCTTCTTCGAAGGCGCCGGCCTTACATCTGTAGAGAAGGCACGCGCCTTCTAAGAAGCAGGGGTGCTTCTAAGAAGCCCTCCCCTCTCCCCCCACCCCCCTCGGCGCGTGGCTGAGGAGGGCGGCCGCGCCGGCGGGCCCGGGCTCGCCTGGATCTTCTGCAGGCCGGACACGGGGCCCAGCGGGGGCCGCACCGCGGCGATGGCGTAGGGGGGGCCCACGATCGAGGAGACCTCTCGGCGCGCCGAGAGGACGAGGGCGGCGGCGGCGCGGACACGGCGGCGACGGCGGCGGCGGCGAGGACGAGGACGACAACGAGGACGACGACGACGACGACGACGACGCCGACGAGGAGGAGGAGGAGAAAAGGTAGAGACAAAGGGGCGACGGCGGCGACGACGGCAACGACGACGACGACGGCAAGGACGACGGAGACGACGACGACGACGACGACGACGACGACGAGGAAAAAAGAAACAACGGGCGACGGCGACGACGACGGCGGCGAGGAGGACGGGGACGACGACGACAACGACGACGACGACGACGACGACGACGACGACGACGGCGACGACGGCGGGCGACGACGACAGCGACAGCGACGGCGACGACGACGACAACGACGAGGAAAGAGAACGACGACGGGCGACGGCCAAGACGACTACGGCCAGGACGACGGCGGAGAGAACGAGGACGACGACCACGCTGTCGACGACGACGATGGCGCCGACGACGATGACGCCGACGACGACGACGACGACGACGACGACGACGACGACGACAATGACGTCGACGAGGACGACAATGACGTCGACGACGGCGGCGACGCCGACGACGACGATGACAACGACGACGATGACGACGACGATGACGTCGTCGATGACGACGACGTGAACGACGACGACGACGACGAAGAAAGAGGGAGACGATGAGCGACAACGACGACAACAGCGGCGACGACAGCGAGGACGACGACGACGACGAGGAAAGGGAAAGACGACGGGCGACGGCGACGACAACGACGGCGATGA